AGAAATGAGATGCAGAGGGGGGGAAACTGGGGGAGACTGAATGAAGACACCATATGGTGTAAAGGGCTGATTATAAAAACAAAGCAGTGGGTGGATCGCAGTGGAACAGGAAATGCACAAAAATCACTCCTGTGAGGATAAAGAGGGCCAGGTTAATCAAATGTAAGCACACAAGAAAAAAAATTCTGTATTGAGAGCCTTGCACTGAATCTCTAGTTGTTTGCAATATCTTGAATGGAGGACTGGCACCAATGGAGTATATGCCATGCATTCCAACCTTCAAGGCCAGTAGACCAAGAAACTTCAACCAAAAGTCATGACAGAAGTTACTGCCATTTACAGTATGTAGATGGAAAGTGTCAGCCGGACAGCCCGAAAAAAGAAAGAAAAACATAAAATGTCCTAGTAAAAGATCTACTAGGATGGAAAAGAGACAAACATTCTTCTGATGTAGAGTAGTAGAGACACTGTCGGCTGCTCAGTTGGGTTTTATAGGATTCGTTTTCATACTCAAACCATTCAGCGACCCTTCATTAAATTTCTCTGGTCATATATATTCAGGTTTTGCTTTCATCAACCCCTAATATGTCAAGGAGCACCCAAAACAAACTTCTGTTGGAGCCCTCTTGTCCCCTTAATGCAACCCCTCTTAAAGTAAAGCAACATCTTCCTTCCAACATTGCTTTAAGACTTTTTACAGGCCTAACATATTACATTATTTCTCAGAAAAATGGAGAAGAAATTAGAATAAAGTAAATCATATCAATGTAATCATCTTGTGACCTTTCAGATTTTTCATGGGACGCCATTTGGGTGTCCTCACCGCCAGGGTGAAACCCACTTTCTTACTGGAACAAGAACACTTTAAACTTGCCACTAAGACCTCAAAATAAATTACATTAGCTACCAAAATACTACAATTTACCAACTTCAACATGAGCATTCTGAAATCTGCATCCATCAGCTATTAGATGAACTGGATCTGAAGGCTCCACCGCTCCATTTTCTCAATATTAAGCTGTGGTGGTTGATGCTTGGTTAAGTGCAGGGCTTAATGGCTGTCTCCTGTCTATTAAAACACATGACTCAACAGTCATAAGTCAGTTGTGGAGCAGATAGGCAGATGATGTGACAAGGCCCCATTGTTCTACTGCTACATGAGGTTTGGCTTTGTTGCCCAAAAAGTACTCAATTTTGGGTTGCTCATCTCTACTCTGAACGATTATTTTGACCAGTGGCACTTTAATGATCTAAATGGCACAATATAATGTTCATATTACAGAAAAGTAACATGTAGTACTCGCCCAATTCTATTGCTCCTTGTTCTAGGTCCTCAGTGGATGCTGCAGTATGACCATTCAAATTACTGGCTTGTGTTAAAAAGTGTGTCCTATGCACTCAATGCCTAAAAAAGGCCTGTGGGGAGCTACATACACACACACACACAGGCCATCATCCCTAAAGGCTGAAGGAGACACTTGTGAATATAGGTGGTCTATCAGTGGGTGTCCAAACATGTAATTTGGCCTTCAGGCTGCGGGCCTGTAAAAAGAAGAAGGAAAAAAAAAAGTTCTTGTATTTGCCTTCTGACATTAACAAGGAAAATACTGCGCTTGATTGTAAGTTTGAGAGCAAAGCCACATTTCGGTGGAGGGCCGAGCTATAGCGAGCAAGGAATAAATAGTAATACTAAAGGGCAGAAAAACCTTACATGGCAAATTTTTCAACGATAGGTCTGCTTCCCATTAAAGCAAACTGAGGCGAGCTCAGTCTCAGCCCTAAAGAGAGCACTGCGGGCACCGAGGCAGCCAGTTAGACCACAGGAGGGGGGAGATACAACATACTACAAATACTACACATGGTATATGTTGACATACAGGAACAAGAGACCAATTAGCAGTGTGTGGTAAACCAAGACGCTGTGGATCGTTTTGTTGTTTTGGTTTATTGTGCACATTGTTCTGTAGGCCAGTCCAGAGTGTAGAGACTGCAGATGTTTCCAGTATTTACTGTATATATTATAAGAAAGACAAGTAGTCTTTTGACTACACTTCATTAGCAAACTGCTTTTTGCACAATCCTTTATTTGAACAATTAACAAAATAGAATGCTGGAGGCTTAAAATTAAAAGACAGTATAGATTTTGCTTTTAGGTCAATATCCCAACAATTCCCAGCAGACAATAGTGTTAGGAGCACATACTGAAAAGAGAGACATTATTGAAGCATTTCACCAGCACATTTCCTGACCAGCCATGAGAGACTGCGATAAAACTATACAACAGAAAGCTCAAGGTGTCCGTTCAAAGTCCCAACTCTCAAACATTCCTCAAAAAGGGGAAAGAAAATATGCAACAAATGTCACAATTTGTGCAGAAATGACTACAAAGCCAGCAGCACAACTGAACTATCATTAAAGTTATGATGAAGATAAAACAGCATGCCTCAGTTTCCTGCGTGGAATGAGTCGTGGACTGTGACGAGACATGGCTACAAGACGTTGGATGGAGAAGGCAAAGTAAAGTTTGAATACTGAAGGAAAGGCAGTAGGGGCCTATATGTCATCCTTTGGTTTATCTGGGAATGGTTTCTCACTTTGAAACCCACAAGAAAAATTCAATTGAGACTGTGCACCACATAACAATGTTATATCACATAGAAGGTAAAAATTATTTAAATCTAATGTGAAATTGGGTAATTTGGGTAAAAATCTGACTTAAACTGAATTTCAATTTTGAAAGACTGAACCTAAGTCTTTGTGAACTTCCAATCAAGTACTGTATGGTACGTGTTAAATGCTTGCACTGCTATTAAAATACACTGCACCATCTCTGATCTGAAGCAGGAAAACGTGGGACGATCACCTTCTCGCCTGTGTACCTCGTTTTAACTGATGGACAACTATGTGTGAGGAAGTGAAGTCTGAGACAAAAAGGAGGACTTTTGTGAATAAAAGTACACAAGCCTAAATCACGTACAAATATTTGAATTGATTACATTTTGTGAAGTGTTAATACTGAGATTCTGACACTGGCGGTTGGAATGAAATGGGTCGAGCAAAAAAAAAAAAACAATTATAAAAAGAGAAAATGACAAAATGGAAATAAATATCAAGCAAAGAACTAGTTCAATTTTATTCAATGTTGTGCTTTAGCCTGTGTAATTTCTTTTCAAACACCAATTCAAATGCAAGCATATTTTTCTGAAGGGAGCGAGAGCATGGGGACATCCAATAAATGATCAATGACAAAAAGAAAATAAAGAAAAGAAAAAACTAAGATCGTTTAGTAACTCAAACAAAAATCATCACAATCAATGAATGATCCAAAAATCAATATCTTAAACAAAAAAAGCAAACACTATCTCCTTTTGTGCACATGTCCGGGGTCTTTATGCAGAGCTTAGCACAGATGTAGTCCCACTTCCCCTCAACACTCAGATTCCCTCGACTAGGAGGAAATTCTGAGCCACAAAAGAGTAAATACATAGGTGTCAGGTACATTCCCCTAACTCTTCACAGACATTAGACTTGCTGTTGGTGCCTGATTAGGGTTAGACTCGTACACTGAGTGGAAAAACATCACACATTGAACCTAAGGCAGCCCCCGCTTTCTGCTGAGTTGGGGGGTAAGAGGGGTGGTGTGGCTCAAAACTACACGGATAAGCCACCTATACACAGGTGGAACCTTTCGACAAGTAAAAGACAAAAAAATAAAATAATGAATGGATAGAGAAGGAAATGTACGAAGGAAATGTACAAAGTAAACAAGGGCAGGTTTTGCAGTGGAATCTGTCTTGATTGGTTGCCATCTCTCCAGTGCAAGAACTGAGTCTAAAAACTAGCGCAGTCCTTCAGGACCCAAACGAGTTTTCAGTCAGCTAGATTTTTATATTTTTAGGTGTTTTTTTTTTAACATTTTAATCTAAATATTTGCAAAATATGCATTTGCCTGTCATATTGTAATCATCAATCAGTTTATACCTTGTGCACAGAAGCTTATTTGTTATTAAATTCTAAAGCGCATTAATATTTTTTTAGATAGTCTCTCTAAATCTAAACCCAGATACCGTAACAAGGATCTCTCAAACAAGGAATCTGTTCAGTTCCCATTCAATGTACCACCTTTCTTTTTTTCCCCTGTTTTTGATGGCTCAAGTTGTACCTAGATTTAAAAGCATCGTAAAAGTGAGGAAATGGAGGAGGAGTTGGTGGTGTCGGTGGCAGAGAAGAGGACGATCTGGCCTTGGGAGGAGAGACTCATGATAATGCTGGTGCTGGGCCTTTTCAATGCACTAGGACAAATTCAAATAGGCTTTTAAACTGCTGCAAATTCATTAGGTCAACAGTTCTCCTTTACTAAAAGGCAAACACTGATATTTCTGGGTCATTTCCTTAAAAAGGTTATTCAAACAAGAGAAATAACCCCAGCAGTCCACTTGCAGCCTGTGGTAGATAGTTCTTCCTGTGTGTGCGCACGCGCGAGTCCACGGTTTGCTATCTGAGCAGAGCTGTGGGCTCAGCCAGAGGTGAGTCTCAGGTCCTGACCTGTAACCCCAACCCCCACCTCCGTCTATTCAACAGTCCTTCCTTGTTGCTTTAAAATTAAAACAAAAAAGGACAAAAAAA